CTAGCCGTGCTCTCAACCACCCCTGATCAATTCTTTTTGTTTATATCGACCCAATTTCTGGGCTACCTTCAAAGCATCAGCCATCATCAGCTTTATATTCAGAAATTCCATTTTATTAGCTTTTTTACACTAAGCCATAGTCTTCTGCCTGAAGGGTAATGTTGTCGTGACCATGAGTCGTGGAACTAATAAAAAGTTGGCCCCGGATTAAGCTGGAGCTATCCCAAATATTTTGCTATACGAACTATCGCTGCATTAAAGGAATCTTCCACGGAAAAAGCTCCGCCCTCATTACCACAGAAAACGATACCTTAAAGGAATCTTCCACGGAAAGAGTGATCATTTTGTCTTGTGTGTAGGATTAGTATTATCGAAACTAACGCTTATGTTCCGTTCTTTTTGCTATGCTCATGAGGCTAGGGGCCTAAGGTATTTTCTGTGGTAATGGGGTATCGTTTTTCTGTGGTAATGGAGGCGGAGCTTTTTCCGGAAGATTCCTTTAACCACCAGTTCATACGTATTATATAATAGTTTCAATTTCATGCTCTATCGAAGCTCTCCAATTTCGGAAAGGGTATAGAGGGTTAATCTCAACGATACTACAATTCGTATTTTCTTATGTTATCAGTAATGCGATCAAAAGACTTTTTTGAATCAACTTCTCTTGCTAGAAATTTTTGCAGTACGATTATTTTTTCTAGGTACGGCATGGATGAACATATTGGCGCTATTGCAATATACGGCAGTATCCAGTCTAGGACTGATGAGGCTAGGCGTCTCAAAGGAAAAGGAGATTATTACGCTTGTTTCAAAGGCATTGCCAACAAGTGCCCGACGTCTACCTTGCGATAGCCGCCAAAAAATCTTGTTCGCGGACGTTACCAAATCTATAACTTATCGATTCCTTCTCATTAAGCTCTCCCTCTCTTTTAGTTTCTCTTTTTCCTGAGCTTCGGCACTAGAATTCATTTCCGATCGCCCCTACGTAACAGACATATAGAAAATACAAGTTTGCAAGGTAAATCTCTATTTTTTTTATATCTGTTAGAGGACTCTGGAAAGCTTGTTATAAGGCCGAAAAATTCACACCTTTTCAATGATAAGCGCCGAATCCTAGTTTTTCAAAAGGACGAAGAATTCACAGTTTTTCAAAAAAGCCAGAAAACTCAGTACTTCCCCGAAATGCAACTTGAGCGAGGCCTATCTCGGCGTCATGGACATTTCTCGTCTTTATTTTACCTTCTTCTAGGTTTTCTAGTAACAATAACTTCACACGATTGAGACAGGCCGTCGTTCCTCCCAAATTGGCACTTACGCTTTTTTTTTTCATTATCGTCACCATTCCGACAAATGATGCAGTTTTTCGGATAAGGTACTGCATAAGCACGTTTTGAAATGTATAAAAAAATGTGGAATAAATCGAACAAAACGAGCCTAATCCATGTGAAAATCTGACGCGCATGCGCGTTATGCTGTCGCCAATGTGTTTACCAGACACCTGGTCGTGTTCTCACGTTGCGTTCACCTCGGCCAAATTCCCTTCAATTTAAATCCCCTCTACTTTCAGGATCCCTACCTAATACAGCAATGAAGAATCACTAACAAACCTTATCAGGTAGGGCAGCTTAAGGATTGAATTTCATCGTGTAGCCAGCACATCTGGTGGCTTCCATCGTAATTGTCATATCCGATGTCATGTCTGATGTGTGGCTGCGGTCATTTTTAGCCTCATGCGCGACTACCAAGCATCGTTTCAGGTGGCTGTCATCTTCGCTATTCTCCTCGGTGGTTTATTACTACTGGCTCTTGTCATTGGAGGCATCTACTTTGTCTGTGTGAATAATGTGAGTTATAGTTCAGTAATATTCAGTAACTTAAAAATTTTCTTTTTTTGACTTTCCAAGGTTTGAACTACTTTGTTGAATTTGCCTTTGATGAAAGTACAGCAGTGGAAATGCCATTGGAAAATGCAAAGTAAGAGAATAACAAAAGATATTTATAGGATAATTAGGTTTTTCAACATTAAGTAGCAAAGCTTGAGCTTCAGACATACCGTCACCTGGGGCCTATCAACTGAACATTTCGCCGACCTTTCGAACCTTCATTATTTCAGTCTGACCCATTCCTGCACCCCATTCCATTGCTGAAGCACTTGTTCCAGCCCTACCCTAGCCCTATACCGAGCACAACGGTAAAAGTTGAAGGATAAAGCAATCAGTGCAGGTCATTACATTTTTGAGATGCGCCATGACTCGGTCTCTTATGTGGTCGTGGCGCAATTGTGAACGTGATTTGGCCTATACAATTCTTTACGGACTAGCTGTTATGCAAACCATTGTTTTTGCCCCCCCCCCCCCCCTCCGATAGTTTTGAGTCTGAGACTATGCACAGCCAATCCTGGAGGGGATGATCACTTATTGCTTGCAAGCGTTGACCGGAATTTGACCCGGTAGTGGACCTTGGGGCGGAAGTGGTGTCTGCGACAAGTGGCAGGGTTTACCACGCGCGCGCGACCCGGGATGGGATCCTGAGCCGGGCCAACCAAGCCTTCCATCCCTCCGGGGTCGGTTAATTGGTACCAGACTTGTCTGGGAGGATAAAAAACACTGACTTGAACATCGGCTGGCCCCCGCAAGTCATTGTATAGGCCACATCGCATTCAAATGCCACTGCGAATGTACAAATGGAAGTAGAATGCGTGCCGCATCCCAAAACGGGATTGATCAACGGCAAATGCTTTATCCTTTTTCGCTTTGGACCCTGGACCGTGGGTGTATTGCGCAATGGACAAGAAGTCATTCATATTGAAGCCGCGCTCATAGGTTGGATTACGGGTCGCTGATGTCCGTGAACAAACAGTTTAAAGTAAATACAATCAGCGACTCGTCTTTAAGCTATAGGTCAACTGTAGCGATTGGTAGCAATCGCGTAAGATGATGTTCTCGGGTTTTGTAAACGCTGGGCATAAACCCGTAAAACTGACATTTCCCAGTTCCCACAGATCAAAAGTGGTCTGGGTGTGAAGGAGGAAACTCATTAGTTTAACCCAGTCGCGACCGCGCAGGATTGCGCAATAGCAGCAGCGTCAGGAGATTTTTCTTCAATAAAATTGAGTGGATGGAGATTTTCCCCTGCCCAGGGCTGGCGTAGATGAATGAGAGGGTATGAAGATTCTTTTCAGGAAGAAAACTTTCCAAATTCCATTTGAAACACGGCAGCCACCGGGCTGCCATTGTCAAGAATGGGTTCAAACTATATGATAAAATAAAACCTCCACCTTCAAAATCTACCTACCCATCTCCCCTAAACATATCCACTTCCGCTTTCACACTGGGATCTTCTTACTGCCCCCATCATCTATTCCTCCTTTGTTTACTGTCTTCATTTCTAACTCTTAAGCAAGGACTGGTGCTTGGATGAAATTCAATATGAAGCCAAGACCGTGAGAACTTCTCAATCCAGTGAATGTTGGAAATTAAGTACAAAAGGCGTTTTTAGTGCCACGACCCCCGTCAGAAATTCTCTGACATGGCGTCGCCCTGGTGTAACCTCTTAAGTTCAACCAGGGCATTGAAACCAGGCCTTTGCCATGAAATCCCTCCAATATCCTCGCTTCCGACCCTGTCCAGTCATGCTCAGCCGCAAGGCCATTTTAGAACCCTCTTTCTCCAGACTGAAGCTGCCTTTCGTGGATTCTTGTTCAGGCTAGCACTCTTGCCGAATAACATTCGTTTGGTCTCCAAGAAGTAAACGTAAGTATCCATGGAGGCAACTTAGCGCCCTGTTTATTTTCCCCACAAAACTCAAACGCCTTATTGCGACCATTTACCCTGATGAGGACAGTTCTTGGGAAGAATTCATCACGCCCACTCCCTATCAGGAAATGTGACGAATCAACTGAATTTATAGTTGGAAAAGCTTTATTTGCTTTTCAACGCCCTAGCTGATACCACCACCCAGTCACAGAGCGGAGAAAATATTTGCCAACATGCGCACATGACTATTCTGAAATCGATCAATGGCCGATATCGATTCCGTCGCTGGGGAAGTTCCGGAACATCCAAATTGTCTCGTTGAAGGTCTCTTTTGAGGCCACGAAGGTTAATAATCATATCAGTAGTAGCGAGTAGAGATACGTGCTGAAGAGGTATAGCGCGTGGCTAAGCTGCTGCCAGTTGCTGCCTCCACATTTTTTGTTTGGATTCGAATCTATACTTGCACAATAACAAAGTTGGGCGCTTCGCAAGATAGTGTGGGGTAAATCATCCCCTTTTCTGTCAAAAGAGGTACTCAGCCCTGGGCAGCGGAAGCGCAAGTTCAGGGTGCGTGAGCTATTTTCATTTTCCTCGGAGTTCCAGCCACCTTCTAGGCTTAGCCCTAAAGGATGTCCCCGTTCCTCCTAAGCTTAATCCTAAAGGATGTCCCCGTGCATTACGGTAGCGCCAAAAAGTGTACGATGAATAAATAATTGCAAAAATTTGGCAAACCCGTGCTATATGCAGAGCTAAATTCCATTCGAGAAGGGCTAATAATGCACAGATATGAGTATGAACGTACATATCAGTTGAATTTTTGCACCCCTGGGGTCTACCAAGCAGAGTTGACTGTCCAGTCCAACAGACCATCGAGCCGAACGGGAGCGGTTGGAAGGGGTCGTATGGGCGAAGCAGTATTGTATTCTGAGAAAACTTGGGAAAAAATTTCTGCGAAAAGGGAAAAAATTTTGGCGAAATTCAAGGAAAATTCGAGGATCAGGGTCTAGGTAGAAAAAGCGCATTCAAATTCCTTCCATTTACTCAGCCTGGCCAATTTAAGTCATTACCTTTCATTTTTTAAATATGTTTTCTGTAGATGGTAGTAAACCAAACTTCCAAGCGCCGCTGAGCTTTACTGGTGTTATCTATGCGCCAGAAGTGAAATATGCGTGATCGATGTGATAAAAGCCGTCGGTCGTATAGTCAGGGAGCGCAGCAACACGAGGGACCATCACTATTTGTTTAGCAGCCAAACAACCCCGTCGACCATCGTCCTTGTCGCTACGGCCACCAAATCGCCACGATGATGTCGTCCTCCCGGTGCCGTTGCGGCCTCTTTTACCCTCACACTCCACTCAACGAAAGGGAACAGGAACAGGGATTTCCATGGAATCGCAAGAGAAACCGGCTCAAAGAGCTTTGATGGAAAAAGAAATTCCTCGGACGGTCGAATTACCATGATCCTATGAGGTACAGCCTCACGTACAGAGGGAGAGCTATCAGAGAGTCCGGAACGGCAACGGTCCGTTCGCATTATTCGAACCAAAGGCTCGCATTAGCGACTTTGAGAAGGGGGGGGGAGTATAGCCGCTTCGTGGTTGAGCAAGCAGGTAGCTCTGAGGAATGTATGGGGGGGGTCGCCAATTTTTCGGGAAGCGCTCACGAACTGACCAATCGGGTACGACTCGAACCTTCACGCTCAACAATGCAGTGTATTAAATCTACTTGCCATCTTTACGCTCACACTGTCCTGCTTTGACGTTAGATGGCCTCTTACAGTGGGCGAATCTCCCGCATACTGACTCAATCTCCGTCCTACAAAATGTCGATCGTGAGTGGGACCAATGCGAAGAGACTAGGCGCAATCTCGATCCGTCGCGTATCGTGTGCGGAAATGGCACTTGAAGAGCAGTGATTGGAAGGTTTCTTGGAAGGCGGATCTTCTTCCTTGTATGAGATCCACGCATTGCTTCGAACCATGATGAAGTCGCTAACTTTCGGCAGGACTACTGAAAAGTTTGTTAAGTGCATGGCGTATCCAGGAAATGACGTGTCACAAGCAGCTCTGCTCAGACTTTGTTGGAACATCTAAAAGAACAGAAAAATAAATATAAGTGTTTGAAATGAAAAAAAAAACAAGAATAAATTGAAGGAACTTCAAAAAAGAGAAAGAGAAAATCTTTACAATTGCTTTCAGATCAATTATGTGAGTTTTCAGATGCGCGACAGTGACCAAAAAACGGCTTCATTCGGGCGGGGCGGAATTCATCAGCGGCATGGCCGCCACCCCAGGCGCCATCCTACACTGCGCCATATCGTGAGGGACCTACCACCACGGCCGTGCTCACTTCACCTACTCCTGTGCAGAGTTATGAGTGAGTTTTTCCGAAAACTGTTTCTAGAGGTAGCTTATGCTGTGCCGCGGTAGCGTAACTTGTAGCGCACTTGCTCGGTAAGTGAGAGGTGCAGGTTCGAGTCCCGCCTAGGTATTTTAATAATCCAGCAAATTTGTGAAACTTCCCCAAGGCGAAATTTGATCAGCAATTCTGAATCAAAACATTCCAGTACATGGAGTTTGTTAGGATGAAAGAGTTTTGCAAGGCTTATTGATTTCCTTGAGGCAGTTTTTATTCTCATTCCGAGCGCATTAGTTTTAGTAAAGTACTGCAGCGTAAAGCTCACAATTCCTTGCATTTTCCTCCACGAACAGCTGCTGAGTCGCCAGCACAGGGTTCTACTCAGTACATGACACGACCGCAGTACTCAACTCAGGTAATGTTTTCACTTTCTCTCGCACAAATCAGTTCATCAAAGGATTTTTATATTTTCTACTCCATTCCAGTACTTGACTACGACTGGTTATTGTTTGGGCGGTGTTGAGAGAGCTCGCTTTAAATTAATGTCATTTCGGGATAAACCACGCATGTCGCGCTCCGTTCGAATCATAAACTTCCCGAATGCGTACTTCCGAATTTCACCCGCACAATGGCTTGCATCACCTATCTACAAATCAGTTTTTTTGTTTCTGTGGTAGGGTTGGTATATGTTAAACGCACGGGTGTGGCGTAATAGGGTCCACTATGGGACTTGACCACGGATAGTATGTGTGGTACCAGCGCCAACAGTTTATGCCAGGCTCGCCCAAACAGATATCAACGGAAGCGGTCCCACTTTCTAAGTTCTAGTGGTCTTTTCTCCGGATTTTATGACCAGTGCACCATCCTATTATCTCTAAGTTCAGCTACAATGGGCGAACAAATTCTTTGTACCCTGCGCCTCTAAGAGTACAGTAACATAGACAGACGGAGTCGGAGCAAGGATAGGCCATCTACTCCCCTTCCCTCACTTCCTCTCCCCACCTCAACCTCCAAAGGCAATAACGAACTACTGCTCATCAAACTAGCAGCCTGACTTGACACCTATCCATGGCCTAAACTATTCTCCAACGAACATGTCTGTACTTTTAGATGAGTCCTTTTTTCAATTTTTTTTCAAGTCAAATTCTACCTTCTTAAGTAGTTTCATGCTTCATTTTTGCATATTCAATCCTTTCGGAAAGAGAAACTTTTGCATTTCGGATTAGACGCCGCCAGCAGCGGTTATATTGAAAGTGTGCTGAAGAGTCACGTTTCAGGTGCCACTCGTTACGCCGACCCGAGTCGAGGAGTTCGGACCGAGTGTCCACTACCGACCACTTCAACCCGATGTCATCTACACTCAGGTACAATAAGCCTCGAAAATCACAAATTTGAACCATTCCTTTGAAAATGGGAGGAGTTTATGAGATGTCGAGAAAAAGTCTCTTGGAATGTAGGAGCATTAGTGTCCCAAAATCTGATAACCTCTATTTTGGCGAGCGGGCCGTTCTGGTTCTTTTGCTTAAAGGTGGCCATTTACTTCGAAGGCCATAAAGGCAAGATTCAAGCTTAAACTGATGAGGTAATTCTACTCAAATGTGATGTAGGGGTGGGAGGTGGACCGCCAGTGGAGAAAAAAGGAAAAAATCGTGAAATACACAGGAAATACGAGCCTTTTGCTCTACGTTGCGGAGAAGTTCAAAAGGCCGGCAGGGAGATGAGAGATAATGTGAGCGCGGAGAGCGGTAGAGAAGTCCGAGAAGAGAGAGCATAGCAGATCAGCATTGCGACGCAGACAAAATATCGAGCGGTGGGCGGAGCGTGTCGCAACAGGTGGAGCGTGTCAAAGTCCTTGGCCCCTAGCGCCTTAGTGACGCATTTCGATGCGGGACTTGGCGAGTCGCCTGCAGTTGCGTCCCATGCACTTCTAGCCACTTTAAGGGCTTATTAGGTGGGTCTGAGCCCGAACTTTGCCTTTAAGCTGGAGGTGGTCAGTGGTACCGGGATGAAGAAAAAACCATGAAAACTGCCGAAGGTGTATCTTTTCCGGAGAATCACCAGTTAGTCCGCACCCTTGGAGGGTCCGCCGGATCTTTCCACATTGTAAGTGCCCTTCTCCAACTCTCAGCTTTGTCGTGGGATCCCCTTTTAAGTTCCGGTCATGATTACCATGGGATAACTTTGTACGTATATCTGGTTGATATGCATGCCTTGGGACCGCGAGCTCGGGTCAACGAAGAGATTCTGGCGTGTTATCTTCTTGCACCCGGGGGTCGTTCTGATTTTCTCATTGTTTTCGCCGCTTGATCAACCGTCCCGCGTATCTACACGGTTCCTCATGAATAAATAACGCATAAACAAATAATATAACAAATAAAAATCCAGCACACTCAACATATCGACAGCCGGACTTTTTACTCATAATCGAAGCCGACCTTAGTACTCTCAAAAATCACTTTTTTGAATTAAAACCTCAATGAAAAATATAAAACCCGCTTTCAGGGACCATCCGGTTACATACAGAGCACACCAGTCGAATACACCGTGACGAGTCTTCCCTCATATCATCAATCGTCCGTCTGAGAACGTGAAGAGCCGTCGATCTGCGTGCTTTTCTTCGACACCTCTAGTCCAAACTACTTGTACATATCAAAATTGTTCCCATGTATTTAAATTCCTCATCAAGGGTTTTCTCCATGATTAGGATTTCTAGCGCTGCTGGCCTCCTGGAAGCCTATAGAATATCCAGAAATCGCGACTTTTCTGTTTTCCCTGTCATCGCGCTAAAGGTAGTGTTCAGGGTTGGCGATCCAAGTAACCTCAAAGGACCAAGCCGACACATTTTCCGGGCGATCGCCTCCTTGACATGGAACGGTACCACCTCAGGGAACAACTTGGTTTTTCTAGGCTAAAACTCGCGAAACGCTGATTACGAAAAGCTGATCCTTTTAGGCTACATATCGTGAATTTTAGCCCATATTTCTCATTCAGTACACAGTTCTTCTCAGCTTTCTTCTTCAGTACAGCTTTTGCATTGCCTCACTGTGAATTCTCGACGTCCTGTCGGATGATCTCACACCGCTTCGAACAGTTCAAATCAGAATTCCATGTAAATCTCATCTCCTCTACACTTCCCTCTCCCTCACTCTTCTAGAATTCTTGCTATGAATTTAAGCTCCAAACTTCTCACCAGGCAATGTCTCATTCCGCTGAAATTTGACGCATGCCCCGGAAGAACGCCTACTTAGGCGCCCATCCAAAAACGAGCTAGCAAGGTCATGTATCGTCCCCAAAAGTCATGTTGGTAGTTTTCCTTTCGAGCAACTTATTCTCAAAGTTTCGATCGAGTCGCTGCCGTAAGACTTTACAAACAGGCGAGCGTATGCGTAGCGGCCGAAGACCTGTGCTAAAAATTTAACTTCGTCTCTTCTCTCCGCACAAAATGGTAGTTCTCTGTGCGGTTCACATCCAGTGCTTTCATTTTGTTCATCAAAAATTCTATTTTTCTGGTCGAACTTCTTTCCAAGCGGTTCAACGGACTCTATGGCGTGAGAGTATTCCGTGAGGTGCAATTACACACCTCTTTTGGCTTTGCCTAACTCTCTCCCTCTTTTGCTCACCGCCTGTTCTCAAAGTGTCTTCTTCAAGGATTTTGACGCAGTGTGCATAATCACTTACTCGTAACCTACTTATATTCGCTCTCATTTTCTCGCTATTACCAGTTATTTTCTGAGAAAATGCTTTTCTGCTGTGTTCTCATGCAATCATGAAGAAGACGCGCTGTGGTGCCAAGCTATTATATTTTTGTGCCAATCAGAATGTATATGAAAAAATATGAATAAAAACTATTATTGTGGTGCAGTTGAAACAACAGGATTTTGACGCAGTGGGCATGTCGTTTCAGAAGTATATCAGTGTAAAGATCTGAGTAAATAAAAAAATATAATAAATAATAAACAGATGAATAAATAAATTAAGTGGCGCAATGGCTAGAGAAATTAACATTTGAAGGCATGATTCAGGATTAAATGTTGTGCTTCCTGCACACGAATACGATTGTATTGGTGGGAAGTGGGCCGGCAGTAAAGAAAAAAGGAAAAGAATCCGATCCGTCAAAAACGCTTAGGTTTAAGGGCTCACTCATCCTTCCTGATCGGCTGTGCTAAGGGAATGAGAGACTAAGCGCGGAGAGGAGAGCATGGGCGAGAGAGCGAAACAATTGAGAGGCGCCAGACAACAACTTTGATAAAAGAAAAAATTCGCAGCTGCTTCAGCTTACTTTGCAAGGATCCAAGCGCTTCTTTATCGGGATTATCTCCGTGCACTGAATCCACATTGTGTACTTGCCCTCTAGTGTTTTCTACAGAATGAACGCCCCTCGTGTCACAGACGCCACCTTCTGTCTGATTGTGAACTTAAGTAGCTCTGCAGGATCTACCAAACGCGGCTCATAAGCAATAACACAAACCTGATGAATCATTGCATCAACGCCATACTAGGTCAATTTCGGCCTGCCGGCACTCTTCCCAGAGAATGTCGATTTTGGATTCTAGGGGGATCGTACATAGGTTATAGTATTCTTTTGAAAACTACGTGAAAGTTAAAAAATTCTCGCAGCAGACTGAATGTGTAGAATTTTCTGCAAAATTTTCAACCGCCTATACATAGTTCACCCAGTAATGACCTTGTGGTGTTCTGGAGAGGGGGTGGGGTCCCCAGTGCGTCAGGTAGTGGCAACATCAATATTATAGATACTGTGATTAGAAACTGGGTGCAGAAGAAGGGTACGGAGATGGGGCGTATGTGGGGCTCCCCTACAAGTCCGTCACCCACACTACGACCTTTTGGTGTGCTACAGAAGGGGCGGAGTTTCCCTCGAAACGTGACGTTTCATCCTTGCCCACAGACCCCTCCTTAACTTTCAAATAGCAGCATTATTGGCACAAAGTTAGTTTTAAATACGTAAAATAAGCAAAAATAGCATAAACGCTAAATAAGAGTTCTGGGATCGTGGGCAGCAGTAAGTGCTGCCTTTCTTGGGAAATTACACCAAAATATACTTCAAAGGTCAGCAGAACTCACCACGCCTCTCCTGTAAGTCCTACGCGTAATACAAAACCTTGAATAATTTCCTGCATACTTCTAAGAACATCAGTCAGACCGTCCTCATGCAATAACGGGTAGAGCAATGTCTATCAGTCGGTCTGAAACAGAACAAAATCGATCGATTTCCATTTCATATCCCTACCTCCTCATACCTCAAGCTTGTCGCCCTAGACGACTCGACGGCGATCCGTGCTGGTCGGATTCCCTCGGCATCTCTGGAACGGACGGCGGCTAGCGAGGGCTCCGCGGGTGGCCCATGCCGTGTGTTCCGTTCCCTGATCTACTGATTGGATTCGCTCGATCTCGACGATAACCCGTGGCCAGAAATGTCACCTACAAAGAGCTATTACTGGCGACAGCTTATTTTTTGGGTTGAAAAATCAAAACTTATCGAAGCATATCAAAATTTCAGAACATCAAAACTAATATGGAGGTGCACCTTTATTCTATAGCTCACGGTAAGCAACGTGTGCCATTACTGCTTATAATTCGCAGCTTTCGTAATCCTTCCTGCACGATTTTTTGTGATTACTATTTTCATCACATTCACGACAAAACCTTTTTCGCTTTTCAGTGGAACGGGCGTGATTTCGCCCGCGCCTCACCTCCCATCCGTGGTGTGTAGTACAAAATAGCGAGGCACAAAGTAAGTTTCATAATACTAATCTGTAAGAGGAGAATTATTCTTATATCAAGAATATGCAAAAAGTACGAGAATGGTAGGAGATTATTAATTAGCTGGCATCCCACATGGGCATTCAGATGAGTGAGCCACTTACAGTAATCGGACTTACACCTTCGACAAGGGAAAGGGATTTTCTGGGGAGAGGATGTATAACTTCGTGGCCCTGGCCTATCCAGGGATCCTTTTCAGTCCTTAGCGGTCGACTCACCGATCGGGTCTTCTTTGTACTGCCCCGCAACACAAGGCCGTTTTGATTGCCCGCCCCAAAATGAATAGTTTCTGATATTAAGGCCTTCGTATCATACGTCGAGAGATGCAGGTGAAGTTCATTCTCTCCTAGTACTTCTCAACAACCAGCCACAGTACGCAATGGCTGATGGAAAAGGTTAGTGGTTTCTGTATTCAACTAATTTTAGTACCAGAAGCTGCTGAAAAGAATTGCTCACAGTTCTGCTCGAGTAAGCTCATTAGCTTAAAGGCAGTGAGGCGGATGGCTAGAAGGAGGTTCCGATGTCTTCTCTGGACGCCTTTGGTGGAGCATCGGCACCGTCAGCGCGCAGGCAAATGTGGTCGGAGCAATCTCACAACTCCCTTCTGCCAATGAGGTCCAACGACGTCCTCTCTGAACCGTCTCGAACCGCTCCGCCTTTCAGCCATTGCATTCGCTGCCATCGAATCCTTCTTACCTATATGCCTCACCTTATTACCCTTGACAGGCATCCTTGTGAGCGGCATAAGTAAATCTAATTATAACGCTGATTCTGCACCTTTGTAATGGAGCGTTCAGAGTTGGCGATCGTACGTGCGATTAGGCGATTAGGGACACAAGCCGGTTTTAACAGTCCGATGAGTGACCGCTACCGTAATCCACGTTGGCACTGGAGCGCGCAGCTACACTACTGCTGTGTACCCACACGTTTCAGCACCAACGTGAGAGGGTATAATGCCTCGCTGGCGAGTGCACAATACCCCCTCCACCACAGCCGCCCTTGGGCGACTATCCAAAAATACACGCAGCGCGCGCTTCGCGCGCAGGCAAGGGAGGTTAGCCCCGGGGTGCCGCCAAACCACTTGCCGGCAAGTTCGACCTACCTGCCATACTCCTCCTATATACCAGCACAGACGCTCCGTACAAGAGCAAGGATTCAATACGTATCCTTCCCTTATCGTCTACACGCCTACTCGCCCATTCGCCTAATCGCCTAATCGCATGTACGATCGCTATGTATGAACGCTGAATAAGCCATAGGGGATAGATGAAAAGAGCTCGGGTTAATAGAAATGACTCGACGCGAGGTAACTTAGGTTTTCCCATGACTCACAAGTTCCTAGCTCTGATTCCCTCTGACCATGAGCTGTTAACCAAAGCAGTCAAACTTGCTTTTTTCGTCGACGAGAAAGTGAACAAAAGCCACAAGAGAACTTTTAAGGTTTCAATTTTCGTCGAAAATTCTTATTCAAAATCAAAGAAAAAGTAGGCAATGTGGAAGAGACTCAAATGACTCCGGAATTCAACAACGTGAGCAATTTTACATCTTAGACAGCCCGCTCTACTGACATGTGCATCTTAAAATGGGTATCGATTTTGCGCGTCTATGATCGATACCATTTTTCACATTGACGCACA